GAATTGGTACCTGTGGCCATCAGTACCAGTTCCTGATCATGCGACAGCCATTCACAGTTGTCACATGATCGCCGATCCCCCTGGCCACACCTGTACCCCCGGCGTTTAGGACTTTTGGGTGGGAAGACGTTAAAGTATTACTCTACCCACTGAACTGGCTGAGAGACAATAGTTTGTGCCTTGAAAGTGATGTAGGTCACTCAAGGCGCAAACTATATTTAAAGGATTAACATCTGTGTTCCAGATTTCTTCTATGGTTTCTACTTTGTAGGCTTCATGTCTCTGAAGACTCTACAAAATCTCCGGACTCAAGGAACCGAATCCGGTTTTACCAGTTCCTGAGGAAACCACTTACCTCCCTAGAGCACAAGCATCCTGGAGCCCCTCAAACTGCATGAGTGAGAACTCTGGGTGACACAAAGCCCATGTTATACCATGAGGGGGCACCTGTAAGAAAGGAGTTAAGGTTCTACTGATTGCACCCTCAATGACCTGCATCGCTTTCAAGGCCTAAACTATATTTAGGAATCAACATTTGTGTTCCAGATTTCCTCTATGGTTTCTACATTGTAGGCTTCATATCCACCAAGACTCTACAAAACCTCCGGACTCCAGGAACCAAATACGGTTTTACCAGTCCTGGAGGAAATCAATTTTCCCCCTAGAGCACAAGCATTCCAGAGCCCTTCCACCTGCATGAGTGAGAACTCTGGGTGACACAAAACCCATGTGATACCATGAGGGGGGACCAGTAAGAAAGGGGTTGAGGTTCTACAGATTGCACCCTGAATGACCTGCATCACTTTTAAGGCCCAAACTATATTTAAGGATCAACATTTGTGTTCCAGATTTCCTCTATGGTTTCTGCATTGTAGGATTTATGTCTCCCAAAGACTCTACAAAACCTCCGGACTCAAGGAACCAAATCTGGTTTTACCAACCCCTGCGGAAACCACTTACCTCCCTATAGCACAAGCATCCTGGAGCCCCTCAGCCAGCATTAGTGAGAACTTTGGGTGACACAAAACCCATATTATAACATGAGGGGTTGATGTGCTACTGATTAAGCCTTGAAAGTGATGCAGGTCATTCAGGGTGTAATCAGTAGAACCTCAACCCCTTTCTTATTGGTGCCCCCTCATGGAATAATATGAGTTTTGTGTCACCCTGAGTTCTCACTCATGCAGACGGAACAGCTCCAGGATGCTTGTGGTATAGGGGAGGAAACGGATTTCCTCAGGGGTTGGTAAAACCAGGTTTGATTCCTTGAGTCCGGAGGTTTTGTAGAGTCTTGGGAGACATGAAGTCTACAATACAGAAACCATAGAGGAAATCTGGAACACAAATGTTATTCTTAAATATAGTTTGTGCCTTGAAAGTGATGCAGGTCATTCAAGGTGGAAACTATAATTTAAGAATAACGTTGGTTCCAGATTTCCTCTATGGTTTCTACATTGTAGGCTTCATGTCTCCCAAGACTCTACAAAACCTCCGGACTCAAGGAATCAAACCTGGTTTTACCAACCCCTGAGGAAACCACTTACCTCCCTATAGCACAAGCATCCTGGAGCCCCTCAGCCTGCATTAGTGAGAACTTTGGGTGACACAAAACCCATGTTATACCATGAGGGGCACCAATAAGAAAGGGGTTGATGTGCTACTGATTAAGCCTTGAAAGTGATGTAGGTCATTCAGGTGCAATCAGTAGAACCTCAACCCCTTTCTTATTGGTGCCCCCCAAGGTATAAGATGGGTTTTGTGTCACCAAGAGTTCTCACTCATGCAGGTTGAGGGGCTCCAGGATGCTCCTGCTACAGGGAGGTAAGTGGTTTTCTTAGGGAGTGGTAAAACCAGGTTTGGTTCCTTGAGTGTGGAGGTTATGTAGAGTCTTGGGAAGCATGAAGCCTACAATGCAGAAACCATAGAGGAAATCTGGAACACAAATGTTAATCCTTAAATATAGTTTGTGCCTTGAAAGTGATGCAGGTCATTCAGGGTATCAAACCTCTCAAGCTTTTCTTGCCATCTGTGTCTCTGCTTGTGAGACTAACCCTATTTGTCCTGGTGACCTTGCCCTTGATGGGAAGATGCACATTTTGAGTTGTCCCAGAACTGGAATAGAGAGGAAACCTTCCGGTGGGGACACTTACTGCGGTGACCTCCAAGGATGAATTCACACCATATGTAGTGGGACTGTGTTGGGCATCTATTCCAACTCAATCCCACCTCACGAGAAGGCAAAATATCTTGTCACCCTATCTGCGTTGCGGTGGTGTGTGGGCACGGTGCACTGAAAAAAAAAGTGTGCTATTCACTGCTTCACACCGTGCAACTGTGAACCTCATCAGAGGTCTAGGTGACCTCAAAAAGTGTGTTTAAAAAAATGAAGGCTCATTACTGCTCTGATCTCGGTCGGACCGCACTGCATAACAGCGGCAGGTGTGAACGAACCCTAAGAGCATTTACCCCATCTTGGTGAAGTATCCTCTCGCTTTCTGATGTCTCTACAAATGTTCACCTCGCTTGGTGATTATTGAAAACATTTGTTACAATCAGATACAGCCAACACGTTTCGGGGGAAGAACTCCTTCTTCAAGGCTAACCCATGGAGGACAAGTTTAAAAAAAAAAAAAAAAAAAAAAAAAAAATGTGGCAGTTCATATAAGATATATCAAAAGATAGTAATTAAAAATTCTATAGTAATTAAAATTCTAACTGGCCTAGTAAAAGTGAATATTGGAGGATACAAATCAATGGTCTAGATATAGTTCATGTGTTTTAGCAAAAGCAAAGCCAAATGTAAAAAAAAAAAATGTTTCTTTTAATGATTATATGAAGTATTTTTACATGATTTTGGTTTATGCAGTTTTGCTTTTTGTGTGTAAATTGCTAAAATGTCTGAACTTTACACAATCGATTTTTGTTGTCATTCTATTAGCTTTTACTGGATAAGACACAGGTTTTCTATTTTGTTTTCATTGAATTTTAGTTGATCTCTGTGAATTTGTGAACTATCACATTGTATGTTTTTCATTGTCCTCTCCATGTTGGACTTGAAATAGGAGGACTTCCCCTCAAAACACGTTGTCTTTATCAAATGTTTCCAATAAATATTTTTAAATGAATTATGAAATGAATGATTATTGATCATCTAATAAATGATTCACATGGCGTGATCAGAGAGGCGGCAGCTTAGGACCATAGCCGGGTCCTCGTACACACCATACTCCCACCATAGGTTGACCTCCGTAAAGCAGGGCTGTTTTAATAGCATCATAGGCCCCTGGGAAAAGTAATGCACTGGGGGCCCCTACCAGCCTGCCCCAGTTTATCAATTTATGCACCTACTCTCAAGAAGTAAAGTATAAATAGTTGCTAGAAATAAACATATTAGCACTTCCAATAAAAGAGGATTTTAAAAAAATATGAAAACATGCCATAAATCAATACAAAAGGCAAAGTTTTGGGAGGGGGGATCAGGAGGGCTCAGTATGGGGGAGGGGGTGGCAGGAGGGCACAATACTGGCATCAAGAGGCCACAATGCAGGGGGTGTTAGGAGGGTACAATACTGGGATCATGAGGGTACAGTATGGCGGGAGTCAGGAGGTCACAGTATGGGGGGGGGGGGGGCAGGTGGGCACAATACTGGGATCAGGAGGTCACAGAACGGGGGGGTCAGGAGGATACAAAACTGGGATCGGGAGGGCACAATACTGGAATCAGGAGGACACAGTACATGGGGAGTCAGGAGGGCACAATACTGGGATCAGGAGGGCACAATATAGGGGGAGTCGGGAGGGCACAATACTGGGATCAGGAGAGCACAGTCTAGGTTCTGGGATGCTACCCGGGCCATCCCGGGACAGTTTAGTAAAAATCTGGGACAGTTGACAAGTATAATGCAATGCAAGATTATCCTGGGGCCCCCCCATGCACCTGAGGCCCCTGGACAGTGCTCACTAACTCTGTTCTGTCCCAACTATATGTATTTTTTCCATGGCTGCTATTATTCTGCTATCTACTGGTGGTTTGGGGCCATTACAACCTGTTTACATATGCGATTAGGTTTGTCCTCCCCTCCTGTTTAATGCAGGTTAGTTCAGTTGTAGCTAAACCCTCCCTGTTTATTCCACGTTCCCTCAGTCAGTAACTTTCTTGAGCCCAGTCTCTGTGAAGACCAATACTGTTTTTTTTACGCTTTAAAAGACTGAAAACCTCCTCTGTACTTCATTTATATGAAGTAAAATTGTGTTTGGAAAAAAGTCTGTGTCCTTTTGAAGAGTTAAGCTGCCTGTGGATGGTGCCAAGTCAGCAAGTAACCCTATTGTCCAGACAGACTGGGTCTTTTGGATGTATGTGAATGCATAAAAGGGACATTTGAAACAGGACAATCTCCTTATGTACCCAGTAAATGGAGTCTCGTTGGTCCTGTGAAGTGAAATTTCCGTAGTGGGACACAGACTAGGACTAAAAAAACCTGATAGGGACTCAGCCTTCCCTACTCCAACAAATGTCTCTAAAATAAGTACTGTCTTAATGTTACAGACCTGGAACAATCATGCCGTCTTGCATTCCGATATTGACCTACACTGATATCACTTCATATGTCCAAATAATATGTCACTTTCAAGATAAAATAAACTTTATTGATAATCTAGGTTGCTTTCCCGAACAATATATCTTGATTTGCTTCTTTGGCAGAGAAGTCCTTTTTGGAAAAATTGGTAAAATCTCCCAGCCCTTGTCTTCAATAATACATTTTTATACAGTTTCAAACTCCGGGATTGTTTAAAATGTTACCAAAAAGACTGCAGATGGGAAACGTTGCATCTCGATTCCATAAAATGGGCATCTTTGTGCTTTGTTTGCGTATTGGGCGTTCAGGACTGGAATGCCCCAATAGGGATCAGCACACAGAGGTGAATACATGGCTTGGACCAGCCAGAACCATCTCATCCCTCAGTTTTGTACGATGGTTACCCATCTCATGGTGAAGTTGCTAGAGGAAGTCCAGGTCCTTCACTGGCGTGTCTTGGTCACCTGCCGTCTTATACAGGAAGTGGAAGTCCAATTTTTGGTCATTTTTCAGCAGACGAGATTTCACCTGCTGCGGCAACGAGTCATTGGCAAGACGGTAAAACTGTTCGTTGACAAGCACATAGAGGCCGTATTTCTGTGGGTCGGACACCTCATATTTTTCTGCACACTGCTGCAGCACCTGGGCCACCCTCGTGTCTGGCTTGGTGGCCAAGGTCCTCGTGTTCACCTCCAGCTCTTCAAAGGAAATTGTGATGAAGTCCTAGGAAAAGAAAGGACATCTGGTCATTGAACTGGTCCATCTGGGAGGACTGTGACTGGGGTTAGAGAGAGTTTAGATCCAGCTGTGAAATCGTAACTCCCACTTTGCAAGGAAATTTCACTTTACAAGAAAAGTTGCCTCACCATCCAACCGTGCGCAAGAGCAAAAATGCTGGTTTTATTCGTTACACACGAGTGGTTTTTCTTTGCAAAGTGAAACTTCACCACATTCACTAAGCTCTGGGCAGGGGCGGACTGAAAACTCATGGGGCCCCCGGGCAATAGGGGATCATGGGGCCCCTGTGTCCTCGCCCACACTCAAAAAAGCCTATGAAAGGTACCAGGGGCATCTCATGGGGCCCCCTACTGACCCCGGGCTCTCGGGCAGTGCCCGAGTTCCCAAATGATCAGTCCTCTCCTGGCTCTGGGGTAAATTCACTTACAAAATTGAACCACCTATTTCCTTTCAGCAAGTCAACCCCACGGTCTCAAAGTTTGGGTACAAGAACAGAGATGGATGATGCTCTCAGCGCAGATCCACTATTGAGTCACCAGTCCCAAGCGAAGAGGTCAAAATATTGGCATTTTCTACAATGTGTCATTAAATCAACATTTACATTTTTTGCTATCGGCTCTTGCCATTAAGGAGATGTTAATGTTGGTACCAGTATATACGGGGTCCAGGAGTCTCAATGAATGGAACCTACCTGTATGGAGGAGCGAGACACCCTGGCTTTGTTGAGCGTCCGTCTTCTCTCCCATCGATGGATGGAGTCTTGGACCTCGAGGCTGAGCTGCCGAGTCACTGTAATCTTATCGTAGTTCTTTATGTGCTCCAGAGCCCCGTAGGTGGTGGTCAGGTAATAGGAACCTAAAAGAACAAAAAAAATGTGTAAACGTCATTGCCAAAATGACAAGAACACACACAGAACAGCCTTTCTCAATCTTTTTATCTCAGAGGAACCCTTTAAATAATTTATTAGGTCTCAAGGAACCCCCTGCAAAAATGAATTCAATGGTGGTCAGTGGGAACAATTTATTAGGTCTCAAGGAACCCCTTGCAAAAATGAATTCAATGGTGGTCAGTGGGAACAATGTATTAGGTCTCAAGGAACCCCCTGCAAAAATGAATTCATTGGTGGTCAGTGGGAACAATTTATTAGGTCTCAAGGAACCCCCTGCAAAAATGAATTCAATGGGGGTCAGTGGGAACAATTTATTAGGTCTCAAGGAACCCCCTGCAAAAATGAATTCAATGGTGGTCAGTGGGAACAATGTCTCCCCTACAGTGTTGGTCAAAATACCACCCTTACTGAGAGCTACAAAGGTCATTGGTGTTATGGTGTTGGCTCTGCCAAGTGGTGTCGGACCTGGAATTATGTAGATACCATCAGATGAAAAAAAACAAGTCAATCAGCCACAGCTCAAGGAACCCCTAGCAACCTCTGGAGGAACCCTAGGGTTTCATGGAACCCTGGGTGAGAAAGCCTGTTCTGGAGGAACCCTGGGTGAGAAAGCCTGTTCTGGAGGAAGCCTGGGTGAGAAAGCCTGTTCTGGAGGAAGCCTGGGTGAGAAAGCCTGTTCTGGAGGAACCCTAGGGTTTCATGGAACCTTGGTTGAGGTTCCTCCAAAACAGAGTTTCTCAGAGTTTCACAGAACTTTGGTTGAGAATCATTACATATAATAATTCACATCAGTTCTTGCCCATGAAGAGCTTACAGTCCAATGTTCCCATCCCAGTCTTAGGTACACAGAGAAGCCCAATCTGAGGACCTTAAATCAAGTATTCCTTTCCCTCGTTAAACTCAGCCAGCATTGGTAACTTATCACCATCACTTGGGACGGTCCCGAGTCCCTGTCACCCCTTCATCCACTTTATCCCCTTCCTCCTTCCTATTCTCTTTACTATTTTTTAATTTTTATGAAATAAAAATTGGAATATTTTACATTTTTTTGTAATTTCTTAGTGGCACATACAAAGTCTCATCCACGGTCTCCCTGCCTTGTCTGGCATTTAAGAACGGGGGGTGTTTTTTGTTCTTTTGGTATCTACTTGCTCGAAGCGATCTTTTATATTTTACCAAACAATGGGTATTCTATTGTGTTTGTGTGCACTAAAAGACATTTTAGTGCATTTTTTTTTTTTTTAACGGAAAACATGTCATACTACCACCATTTTCTTCTAAAGGGCCCGGCTTTCAGAAAATCTATACATTTTGGGGATTTGTAATTTTCCAGCTAAAAATGCTGATTCTAACGTGTGTGAAAAGCTAGAGTTGTCCTGGCCACAACGGAACTTTACCCATAAGAACTCGATAAAAATAATGCTCTTTAGCAAGGAACATTCATTCCACATTAATATTTAGGCTACCAAAATGACCATTAGTGTAACTGGGGCCCGAGTGTGGCTCAGATCAGGCAGCAGCCATTACCTTCTCCCAGCTGCAGCGAAGGGTCCATCAGCTCCATCATATACTCTACATCCAGGAGAAGAGCCACGAGGTCACAGCGGGCCAGGACGTACATCAGAACTGGGAGGAAGTCGTCCGCTCCGTGGGGCTTCCCTGCAGAGAGGACAGAATTCATTCACAAAATCTGGGATGGCGGAATAATTGCACCATAGAAAATAATAGCCCCCCCCCCCTTCCAGCCCCCTCCCAGGGAAATGTCCTTCCCAGATAAATGCAACATTTCAATAAAAAAGAGAACTTAGATTTTTGTTCCCATTAATTCACAATGAGTTGTCTGCCTTAGGAATAACGCCCCATCACTGGTGTCACTGAGAGGAATAGTGCCCCATCATTGGAGTCAGTGGGAGGAATAGTGCTCCATCATTGGTATCAGTGGGAGGAATAGTGCCGCATCATTGGTATCAGTGGGAGGAATAGTGCCCCATCACTGGTGTCACTGAGAGGAATAGTGGCCCATCACTGGTGTCAGTGGGAGGAATACTGCCCCATCATTGGTGTCAGTGGGAGGAATAGTGCCCCATCATTGGTGTCAGTGGGAGGAATAGTGCCCCATCATTGGTATCAGTGAGAGGAATAGTGCCCCATCATTGGTGTCAGTGGGAGGAATAGTGTCCCATCATTGGTATCAGTGGGAGGAATAGTGCCCCATCATTGGTATCAGTGGGACTAATAGTGCCCCATCATTGGTGTCAGTGGGAGGAATGGTGTCCCATCATTGGTATCAGTGGGAGGAATAGTGCCCCATCATTAGTGTCAGTGGGAGGATTAGTGCCCCATCATTAGTGTCAGTAGCAGGAATAGTGCCCCATCATTGGTGTCAGTGGGAGGAATAGTGTCCCATCGCTGGTGTCAGTCGGAGGAATAGTGACCCATCGCTGGTGTCCGTAGCAGGAATAACGCCCCATCGCTGGTGTCAGTAGCAGGAATAACGCCCCATCGCTGGTGTCAGTAGCAGGAATAACGCCCCATCGCTGGTGTCAGTAGCAGGAATAACGCCCCATCGCTGGTGTCAGTAGCAGGAATAACGCCCCATCGCTGGTGTCAGTAGCAGGAATAACGCCCCATCGCTGGTGTCAGTAGCAGGAATAACGCCCCATCGCTGGTGTCAGTAGCAGGAATAACGCCCCATCGCTGGTGTCAGTAGCAGGAATAACGCCCCATCGCTGGTGTCAGTAGCAGGAATAACGCCCCATCGCTGGTGTCAGTAGCAGGAATAACGCCCCATCGCTGGTGTCAGTAGCAGGAATAACGCCCCATCGCTGGTGTCAGTAGCAGGAATAACGCCCCATCGCTGGTGTCAGTAGCAGGAATAACGCCCCATCGCTGGTGTCAGTAGCAGGAATAACGCCCCATCGCTGGTGTCAGTAGCAGGAATAACGCCCCATCATTGGTGTCAGTGAGAGGAATAGTGTCCCTATTGCTAATGCCAGCGCCCCAAAGCCCGGATAAAGGCAAAGTGCAGAGCACTGTAATATAGAATCTATTGAAAGTCTATTCTAGTGAAAAGCCGCACTACCCTCTCTGCTCCTGCAGGGGACACTGCTGTGTCAATTCACCCCTAACCATTGCATAAGGAGTTCCAACACTCATCATACATGACGTCAGCAGTGACTGTTCACAGAATTTGTGTAAGAAGCGGTTTGCGGGGTTGTGTTGTGGGGAAGAGGACGTGTATAATGACAGGAACACAAACATACGCCACCAGAAATATATTCCCTGATTGTGATCTAATCAACAATGAAGGATTGCTACCCTCAACTGGAGCAGAAACAGCCCAATCACTGCAAGCAATGCTCAGGTTTGGGAGGATCACTTGCTTTTATCGCGGCGTCTCTGGAGCACCCAAGAGTACAACCTTTAAAAGTCGACCTGAACGTTATTAGGCTATTTTCTCTCCAGGTCGAATGTTTTTAATGCATACAGATAGAGAATGTTAGGAAAATACCAGCCAATAGATGGAGCTAGTAAATAATTATTTGTTTTCTATGATAATTAGTGCCCATAATGCGGTGATGTCACTATGGTACTGATCGCTGTTCTCCTTCCTGGAGAGGAAGCTGTACCTGGGAAGACCTGTAGTACAAGAATCTCCCCGAACTTGCTTCATTCACTGCATTCAATGCTTCCTCTCCTTCTCTGCTGCTCTTTACTCATTGAACTTTTGAGAAAGTCCAGGATGGACGCAACGCATCGGGTGGGCAGCGTTTCAGGACGTCATCGCGTTGGGCAGAGCCATCTTGGAGCACAGGCTTAGTGTTTTAACTTTTTCATCATTACCCCACTAGCCATCAGGGGGACCGCGATCACACCAGGAAGTAAAACCATACCAAGATGGCCACCTCCACACAGACAGTGCAGAAGAAGTCATGGTAAGGGAATTTAAAAAAAAAAAAATCAGCTGCCCTGGCACCCCTGGGATTAGTCAAATTAGTTGGGTCAAACAGGTTACCAACCCTTCCGGAAGTACAAAGAACGACATTTGTAACATGGTCATGACAGCAGGAATAGAGAACACATATGGGAAGAGGACATTAAAATAGATTTTTGCCCAGGACAGACCACCTACCTGGGTTCCCTGTGGCCATTGAGTCGTAGATGAGTTTGCATGCCTTCAGCAGGTAGGTGATCTTCTTCTCTGGTGAGTAGGTCTTGTGCATGGTCCCGAACTTCTGGATAATCTTCTCCATCACGCCGCTGTCTGGCACACTGGTGGTGACGCCCAGGTCGGTGGTGGTCATGTCCTGGATGACCAGCTGGTTCTCAGTCAGGAGTCTCAATGATTCGTCCTTCTCGTGGATCTCCCTGAGGTAACGTTCAATGGGGGCCTTGAGGGGCTTCAGGACGCACTTGCACAGAGCCGCCTCCACAATGGCGTCTGTGGTGGGAACATGGAAGAGCAGTGGAAATTACCAGCGGAAAATGTTTGTGTGTAATTACATGAGATCTGTGCTTTCTTCACTAGTTTGCCTTTGGGGAACAGCCATTGTTGACTTTAAAAAGGTTCCAAGGCGGTCCAAGGTGGTCACCCCAACCTTGCTTCACTACTTTTCTTCCAAGCCCAACTCCGGGCAAAAAAAAAGTTTTCCCATGTATTGTGGCTGCACCCGCACTTCACAGGTTAACTGTTTGTTTTTTGTCTATGGCAGAGGGGAACGGAGATATACTTACCTAACCCTCCCAGCAGAAGATTGGTCCGGCACCCCCGTGCTCCAGCAGTCTTGAGTAGTGGACTGTTCCTGGCGTCATCAAGCCCAGAGCAGGCTCCATAGTCCAGGAACAGTCCACCGCTGGACCATGGGGGAGCGCCATTTTCCAGTGCGTTGAAGGATCAGGTGACTATAAACTTTCTCCTCGCCCCTGGAAAAAACAAGCAGCTGACTCATTCAGTGTGGACACAGCCCTCCAAAAAAATTCCCCTCCTAGCAAAAATTTCCTCCCCTACCCAACACAAATCCCCTTCCCCATTCCCCCAAATCTCCCCTCTTAGAAGAATTCTTACCACCTACCACACCCCAGGTTCCCCCTTCCAAAACAAATCCCTTCCCCCCCCCAATCTCCTTGCGGTTCCCCCCACCTCGCATCATAGCACAGCTGCCCCTCCTGCCCAACTCTTGTCTCAGTCCTGCTTTGATATGTTATTCCTGTCCTTACTGGGGAGATTTCCCCTTAATTCCTGTCAGGAGAGGAAGTGATGCACCCCCCCCCCCCCCAAAAAACAAAAAAAAAACAATGAAGCACTAATCTGTATGCTTACCCCCTAAGCATAATTTTCTCCTCCTCCTAGTACAAATCCTCCCCCTGTTCAAATCTCCCCTCCCAGAACAAATCTTTGCCCCCCCCATTCCCCCCAGCTCAAATCCCCTCTCCCAATGTGCCCCCATCACCCCCCCCCCCCAAAGAAAAAAAAAAAATTAAAAAAAAAAGGATTTCCCTTCCTAGAACAAATTCTCTGCCCCTCAAGTTTTTCCCTCTGAGCGCAAATCATCCCCCCCCCCATTCCAAATCCCCCCTCCTAGCACAAATTCCCCTCCCCCAATTCTCCCTCCTAGCATAAATCCTCCCACCTCCAAAAAAAAATCCCACCTAGTAAACATCTCCTCCCCCAACCACCATATTACCTTTTCTAGCACAAACCCCACCAAAATCCCCCCTCCCAGCACAAATCCCCTTTCCCCTCCCAACAAAAATTCTCCCAAATTACCACTCCACACATCTCCCCTCCTAGATGAATTCTTACCCCCTGCCAAACCCCAAGTTCCCCCTTCCAACACAAATCCCTTCCCCCCCCCAATCTCCTAGAGGTGCCCCCCACCTTGCATCATAGCACAGCGCCCAGGGCAGCCTCCCCTCCTGCCCAACCCTTGTCCCAGTACTGCTTTGAGATTTTATTTCTGTCCTTACTGGGGAAATTTCCCCTCAATTCCTGCCAGGACATGAAGTGATGAGAAATCTCTTCAACGTTTTGAAAAGAGTGGGGTAAGGATCTGAACTTCTGTTCTTACGGACGTCCCCGACAATGACTTTTTACTAGACAGGAAGTTAGGGAATATCTCCTGCAGGGACACAATCTAATAGAAACGTGAAAGGGATTCTAGTTTTTCTCTACTCTATGAAGGAAAAGCATTATCATTTGTCTGGTTTGCTGTTGGAGAGTTTCCCTCACTTCCTGCTGGGTAAAAGGTTGTCACCAGGACAGAAAGTGAGGGCAAAGAGTGTATATATCTCTGAAGCCCAGGAAGGGCTACTAATTTTCCAAATCCTTCCAAAACAAATGTTTAATATCCACACGTCATGCATACGCATCCATAGATGGTCAAAGTTTCTCTTCTGTCTGACAGCATAGTGGCCGAGCAGTCATAGACCGGTCTCTATTAATGATCAGGAGATAAACGAGATGGGCTGTCGATCATGTGACCACCGTGACAGCCAATCACAGTCCTCACATGAGGAGATAGTTTTAGATGAGTGAGGAGATCTTTAGAACCCGTCAAGTTTTTTTTTTTTGCTGCCTGTATCCCCAATAGGAAGATTTATCCTCTATTTTGTCCTGGAGGCCACTATCACCAAAAGTCAAAGGAAACACAAAATTTTGGGTTTTCATCAAAACAAGAATAGAGGAGAAACCTTCCAATGGGAGGCAACCGTTCCGGTGAGGCTCGCTTTACTTGGGGGGGGGGGGGGTTGCCTCTTCCTTCCTGTTTTGACTATGGAACAGGAGGTGAAGGGAATTATCCCCAATGGGAAATAGAGGACACCCTTCCCAAACCCTTACTCTATCTACCATGAAAAAAAGTTTTGCCTTTAGTTCTACTTTTAGATGCAGCTCTATAGAAGTATGCATTCCAGGGTACAAATCAACTCTAAAGGAATAATTTCTTACCTATTTTATCATCCGTGTATAGATTATAATCCACCATGGACTTCAGCTCGGTGCTCTGAACTAAGTAACTCTTCAGCTGGGTCATCATGAGCCGTATCTCCTGCAGCATCTCTGTGCTGGATCTCTGCTTGGCCATCATCTCCAAACTATAGGCTTTATAGTCCTGCACCAGATTCCCGAAGTAGGAGTCTTTGTCGTGAGCCAGTTCCGTAATCCTTTTCTGCAGTTTCCGGTCTGCAGACATGAACGCCGAAAAGACGTTGGTGATGGCCACAATGGACAACCTGTTTTTGGCCCTGTCCAGCATAAATGAATGGGACTTTTTGAGGGAAGCACCAGTGGGCCTTTCACAGTCCTCATCTGCACTGCTGGCAGAATTGGAATCCATCTCCGGATTGGACACAGGAGTATTTGGTCCACTCATCGGCGAATTCAAAGACGAATCTGAACCCTTCAGGTCTTCGGACGTTGAACTTTTTTTCTGTCCTTTTTTATCCTGGATTTTGACACTTTGGTGGACTTCAGAAGTCTTGGAAGATTGTTGGGGCTCAGAGAGCCTTTTTGGATCTGGTTTCTGCTGAGCAGCTTTGGCAGAGGAATACTTGGAAGACAATTTCTTCACTCGTGGTGGCGGGACAGGAGGCATTTTTCTCCCGTCTGCCAATTTTTGTTGATGTACAGGAGAGCCGACCTTCTTTTGTTGTACGTTTTCATTGCTTCCTCTGTGAGCCTCAGCTTTTTTCGTCATTGGCTTAACTTGTGGCATACTGTTCTTGTGCTCAGAAGATGGTGAACTTAGTTTTTTTTCCCCTGCATTGTGTTTTACTGAAAAAACATTGGATGCATTCTCTGGAACTTTCCCAGAAGGTCTCCTTTTTGGGACAGCAGGTGGGAGGCGAACTGGAGTCCGAACTGGAGATGCTTCTGGATGCGCATTATTTCCTGGAACGTCTTTCTTCTCTTCTGAATTGCTGATTCTCATATCTGCAGAAGGCTTCTCAACCATATGATCATCGGTGACAGAAGACCCTTGGATGGCAGAAGACCCCTCAATGGCAGAAGACCCCTCGATGGCAGAAGACCCCTCGATGGCAGAAGACCTCTCAGCAGATTCGCCTGCCTGGTTCAAGTCTGTAGGAGCCGATGAGGAAAGAGATGCATCCGTCTTACATTCAAGACAAGAAGATTCAGCTGGTGGAGAATTAGAGAGAAGTAGGAGGACGTTCAAGTTCTAAGGGGTTCGTTTCAGAAGAAGACGGGTCACTAGAGCAACATAACGTGAGATGATCCACTGCAGGAGCAACAGAAGAAGAGGATGAAGAAGCCAGAGACAGAACAGCTGGGGTGTCCAGGGCAGAATTCAGAGGAAGAGGTCCATCTGAAGGTGAACTAGTTGAAGAACATTGAGAAACAGGCTCATCTGAAGGAGCTTCGCCAGAAGGCAATGGTAGAGTCTCAGTTTGAGAAGGAGAGCTCAGACTTTGGTCAGAGAAGCTTGAAGGCGTAGGAGAGGAAATCTTAGGAGAACTTAACGTTGGTGAGTGTGAATGTGGAAGTATATAATCTGGGGGAGGCGCAGAAGGAGGAACAGACGGAAGGGGAGGCTTATGTAACGGAGGAGGCGGTGGAGGAGGTCTCCTGTAAACAACTTTGGGGAGCTGAACGTCGGCCTTTGCAACACAGTTTGTTGGAGGAAGTTGATCACAGGCCTGTGTGTTGCCACATTCCTCGATAAAAATAGGATTTACAAACCACAGTTTGCCACTTTCGGCCAAGAGCTCGATTTCACAGGCACAGTCACTCGGTGCATCAGAGGCCTCTCCACTCCGCAGACGGCCACAAGACGCTGATTTACCAGGATGAGGAATGAGCGAGCTTCTTCTGCCTCTTATGGAAGAGTCCCAGAATCCTGTGCAAAAGAGAGAAAAAAAAACAAAAAGACAGAGTCAGTCTATCGAAAATCACTAGATTATTAAAAAAAGTTTGTCTGCACTGTGCATCAAACATTTTGCCTTTTTTTGTTTTCATATTTGCTTCCATCTCAGTGCTGCTGATCAACTGCAGCCTCTTTGAAGCAACTTCTGTACATGCCCTCTAGTGATGGCTGCATGGCATTTCACAGGGTCGGGTTATTGATGGTAACAAAAATGGACCATGCCCGCTTACTCACAGTCTCCATTGGTTAAAACACCACATTATGACCACTAGGTGATGATGAACAGCTTATTTCCCATAATAGTCAATGCCACCTAGTGGCCATAACAGTAGTTTTTTTTTTCCATTCTCACATTCGATATGCAGAGCCTATAGCCTGAGAGCATTCGATTTTCCAAATGTGCTAAAGAAGGGATCTCCAAACGTTCTAATCAAAAGGGCCAGTTTACGGTCGTCTGGACTTTAGGGGGGCTGGACTGTGGCCCTTGACAGTACAAAATGTTCTGGCATTAGTGGGAGAAAGCAGTGTTCCATCATTGGTGTCAGTGGAAGGAATAGTGCCCCATTATGGGTGTCAGTAGGAGGAATAGTGCCCCATCATTGGTATCAGTAGGAGGAATAGTGCCCCATCATTGGTGTCAGGGGAAAGAATAGCGCACCGTCATTGGTGTCAGGGGAAGGAATAGCGCACCGTCATTGGTGTCAGGGGAAGGAATAGCGCACCGTCATTGGTGTCAGGGGAAGGAATAGCGCACCGTCATTGGTGTCAGGGGAAGGAATAGCGCACCGTCATTGGTGTCAGGGGAAGGAATAGCGCACCGTCATTGGTGTCAGGGGAAGGAATAGCGCACCGTCATTGGTGTCAGGGGAAGGAATAGCGCACCGTCATTGGTGTCAGGGGAAGGAATAGCGCACCGTCATTGGTGTCAGGGGAAGGAATAGCGCACCGTCATTGGTGTCAGGGGAAGGAATAGCGCACCGTCATTGGTGTCAGGGGAAGGAATAGCGCACCGTCATTGGTGTCAGGGGGGAAGGAATAGCGCACCGTCATTGGTGTCAGGGGAAGGAATAGCGCACCGTCATTGGTGTCAGGGGAAGGAATAGCGCCCCATCATTGGTATCAGTGGGAGGAAAAGCGCCCCATCATTGGTATCAGGGGAAGGAATAGTGCCCCATCATTGGTGTCAGTGGGAGGAATAGTGCCCCATCATTGGTATCAGGGGAAGGAATAGTGCCCCATCATTGGTATCAGGGGAAGGAATAGTAATAGTGCCCCATCATTGGTGTCAGGGAAAGGAATAGTAATAGTTCCCCATCTTTTGTGTCAGTGGGAAGAATAGTGACCTGTAATTGGTGCCTTGGAAGGAATATTGTCTCATAAATGGTATCAGTTAAGGAATAGTGCCTCATAATTGATGTCAGTGGAAAGACTAGTGTACCATTGGTGTCAGAGGAAGGAATAATAATAGTACCCCATCACTGGTGTTAGTGGGAGAAATAGTGCCCCATTGCTGGTGTCAGTGAAGAAATAGTGCCTAATAATTAGTGTCAGTGGAAAGACTAGTGCCCAATCATTGGTGTCAGGGGAAGGAATAGTGCCCCATTGTTGGTGCCTTGGAAGGAAAAGTGCCTCATAATTGGTGTCAGTGCAGGACTTCCTGCCCTGCTGTTGGTGTCAGTGGGAGGATTAGTGCCCCCTATCAGTAAAAAGAATAGTTGCCCAAAGGGCCAGATATAAGTAATCAAAGGGCCACACCTGACCCCCAGCCATAGTTTGGACACCACAGTACTAAAGAAGCATTCAGTCAAGAGCAGAGAAAGAGAGTGAGCAGAGGGAGGACCTCCTCAGTCTATTGCTTCTCTTTTCACTGCTCAATCACAGCCTGGGGGGGGTGAAGCGAGGAATCTACTGAATCTCTTCTAGAGTAACTGCAACAGAGAAAAGGGGTTGTCATCCACCTGGCTGTGCTGTGTGGCAGAGCTGTCTAAATCTTAGGACTGGATTGACAGAACATACAAATCCTTTTTCAGTTAAGACCGCCCTGATAAAATAAATTCCATCTGCGTATTTGGAACAGTAAAAGGTCCTCTATCAGGCTTACACTACCATACGTGTCCCCATAGGAGGACACAAGGACAGGAAGTGAGAGGAAATCTCCACTTTGGGGTCCAACCCTTCCCCACCAGAGAACCCGCATCCACCTAAAACTGAAATGGCATATTAAAGCAAAAAAAACTATACTCCCCGCCGACACCTCCCTCGCTGGCGCCGTGGCCTGGGCTTCTTCCAGGTTCAGGATTTTTAGCCGCCTTGACTGGTTGGGCCGGGATGATGCAACGCCCTTGTACAGGTATGGGAGTTCATCCCCCCCCCCCCCCACACCAAGGCATGCTGAGAATGCGCTCCGAGCGTCGCATGCACAGCTCAGAGTACATCCTAAAGAAGGCAGATAAGATGCTTTTACAAAGCATGTATTTTCTGCAATAAACACCAGCATGCTGGCAATTCTTTTCTATTTTAATACATACAGTAGCTCTGATACGGAATTATTATTATGGTTTCCCTACTCTGCGCCATGGCTGGATCTAGGGGGGTTCTGGGATGGGCTTTGGGGGGATTTGGGTAAGGTGGATTATATGCTGGGAAGGGTAATTTGGAGGGAGTTTAGCTAGAGTAGGGATTTGGGGGAATTTGTCCTAGGTGGGGGGGGGGGGGTTAAAGGAAGAGGAGTGATGCTAGGAGGGGGGGATTTGTTCTTGGAGGGGGATTGGGGGGGATGTGTGTTAGGAAAGAGGATTGGCGGGGGGATTTTTGTTAGGTGGGGGATTAGGGGAATTTGTGCTAGGAGAGGGGGGGTTGTGCTAGAAGGGAGGATTGGGTGGGTGGGTGTGCTAGGAGGGGGGATTTGTGTTTAGGAAGGGGGGTTGGGAGGAAATTTGTGCTAGGAGAGGGGGATAGGGGGAGACTTGTGTTTGGAGGGGGATTGGGGGAAGGGGGACTTTGTCTAGGAGGCATGATTGGGAGCAGATGTGCTGGGGGGGGGGGGGGTGTTTGTGCTAGGATAGAGGATTTGGGTGGGGAGGAAGGATTTGTTCTAGGAGGGGATTGGGGGGATTTGTGTTAGGAAAGAGAATTAGGGGAGATTTGAGCTAGGAGAGGGGATTGGGGTGGGGGGTTGTGCTAGAAGCGAGGATTGGGGGGGGGGATTTGTGCTAGGAGGGGATATTGGGTGGGTGTGCTTGGAGAGGAGGGGGATGGGGGGAGACTTGTGTTGGGAGCGGGATTGGGGGGGGTGATTTGTGCTAGGAGAGGGGGATGGGGGGGGAGACTTGTGTTGGGGAGCGGGATTGGGGGGGGGGGTGATTTGTGCTAGGAGAGGGGGATGGGGGGAGACTTTGTGTTGGGAGCGGGATTGGGGGGTGGGTGATTTGTGCTAGGAGAGGGATGGGGGGTTGTGCTAGAAGGGAGGATTGGGGGTGGATTTGTGCTAGGATAGGGAATTTGGGTGGGGAGTAAAGATTTGTGCTGGGAAGGGTAATTTGGAGGGGGTTATACTAGGAGGAGGGATTTGTCCTAGGTGGGTGGTTTAAGGAAAAGGAGTGATGCTGGGAGGGGGGATTGGTTCTAGGAGGGGGAATTTGGACTAGGATAGGGGATTTGGGGTGAGGAGGAAGGATTTGTGCTGGGAAGGGTAATTTTGAGGGGGGTGAAAGTAGCTGGTCTTGCCTAGGGCACAAAATCTAGCACCGGCCCAGGCGCCAGATATCCCGCCACACTATCACAGTCCCACTATAAAAGTCGCTGATCACCATCATTAACCTGAAAATATCAGGGGGGTTTTTTTCCAACATTTTCAGACTTTTTTCATGTATATCATAAGAAATTAAAAACCCACATCAAATACCACCATAAGAAAGCTCTATTTGTGTGAATCAAATTATAAACATTTGGGTACAGTGTTGCATGACTGCACAATCACCAGCAAAAAGTAGTGCAGTACTGAACAGCAAAAAAAAAAAAAAAAAAACTTTCCAGAGCTCAAGTGGTTAAAGCACAAATGAATTGTTACAGGTGACACTTCTGATTGGTCGATATTCATTTAGTAGGAGCTCCTGTGGTCACCCGGCGGTGACACCATCACAACTGCCAAAGCTTTTCTGCAAGAGAACTTCTGGGTAACGTGACGAAACATGTCTGGAAGGCTTTGACGCAGCAGCCAATAAGGTGATCTTACTGAGAAGAGGAGGACTCCGAGCAAACTGACGTACTGAAGGGAAAAAAACTAAATTACTCAACATTGAATATAAATGCGGAAGTTCCGTAGATTATTTAATACATTCTTATGCATGTGGAACTTCTGCAGAAAAATCGAGGTCTCTGAGCCCAAATCTTGGTACATCACCATTCCCATCAGACTCTCCACCACTATGGTCACCTATCTGCTGACACCCTCCCCTCCCCCCCCCCCCCCCCCCCCCGCCCTGCCCCTAGTAGATTCATCAAACAGATCCACGGACGAGATTTTATGAATATATACCGTATATACACACACAGATTATTGTGCAAAAGTTTTAGGCAGGTGTGAAGAATTGCTGTAAATGAAGAATACTTTCAGAAATCGAAGTGTTAATAGTTTATTTTAAGCAACTAACAAAATGGAAAGTAAATGAAGAGAAATCCAATCAATATCTGGGGTGACCGCCCTTTGCCTTCTTCTAGGTAGATCAGTGAAGGAACTCGGCAGGTAGGTTGTTCTCTGTACATCTTGGAGAACTAAGCCCAGATCTTCTGTGAGTGTCGGCCACCTCCAGTCCTTCTGTGTGTTCATGTCATCCCAAACAGACTCCATGATGCTGAGATCAGGGCTCTGTCGGGGCCAAACCATCACTTCCAGGACTCCTTGTTCTTCACGCGGACGACAATTCTTGATGACATTAGCTGTATGCTTTGGGTGGTTTCCCTGCTGCAGAATAA